ATGTTGGGGCGGGGGAGATGATGTGTTCTATAAACTGAATGTAGCAACGGGTTTATTATGTAAATGTTTGTTCTGGAATGCTGTCAGCATACTTCTTTATCACTAGCCAAAGGAACACTTGACGTGAGGGTTATAGCCTTCCAAAGCCACATAAAGGTCAATTCCAAGGGAGAAAGACAGGTAAGAAAAGGACTCTTTATAAGCTGTCTCCATGTTTTTGCTGTTAGCTGCAGTGATCAAGAAGTCTGGTTCTGAATTATGACATCAGAAGCATTAAGTGGTTGGCTATTCAGGGAGTACTCGGGATAGCTAGAATTTTTCTGTCCATGCTATTTTTCCAACAGAAAGTTAGGAGTTTGTGAAGAATCAAAGAAACTTGTATAGTGTCAGCTCTCTATGGAAAACAGACTTTTCATAAAAGACCAATGTCCAAAATATTTCTAGATGGTAACCATAAATTTTGATTCAAAAAGGCTGCCATGGTGCCTCCTGGGAGTTGTGGTTTAGGTTCCTCCTACTAACATTATCCTACAGGCTGGGTTACCCAGCTGGAAGATATGTCCTATGATGAACCATGGCCAGAGACTCCCATGAGGTACCACAGCATCCTACCAAGAATGGAAACCATGGTGCATCCTGGGACATGTAGTCCAGCCAGTACATCCATCCCCTTTCCCCCATATAGAGGAGACTAGGAGCATGGGACTCCCAGATTACAACTCCCATGAGACACCATGACAGCTTTTCCAAATCAAAATGGTTTTTTGTTTTTGGTTTGGTTTTTTTTTTTTACTAAAAAGTTGAAGTGTTCCATGGAGTTAAAAAAAGAATTCTGATCAGCAAGTACCTAGCCAAAGATAGAGAACAAGATGTTTTTGATCAATGTACCTCTTAGCGAGCTGCATTCTGGTCAGTAGTACAATTTCCACTAAAAAGAAGAAAATTAAATACACTGGGGGAAGAAAAGGAGGAAGAGTTAGTGTTTTTTCCAAAAGCCCATTTAATTTGAAAAGGGTGAAGAAGTCAATGAATAGTAGAGAGGCACAAGTTTTGGTGAATTTATTAGTGAGACATACACACGCGCGAATTAGGAAGGCTTCCATTTTCTTTGGACAGTTGCATCTTTTCTTTTCCAGAATAAAGGGTTCTTAATAGACGGTCACTTAATGAAAAATGATAACAGGCAGGAGGCATAAGGCCTTTTTCATTTTAATAATGTGTTCTGAAATAAGATAAATTGTCTTTGCTCCACATTTGGTTCTGTTTCACCTGCCTGCACACAGGCATTCTGAAGGACAAGTTGTTCCAGTTTTACTGTAGTTTGTACTCCTCAATCATCTACTGAAGTGCTATTTTTATAGGGTTCTCCCCAACCACCACCATTAACCTGAAGTAAACATAGTAAAACCTGAGTAACAAGGAGACTACTTTCCCCCATTCTGTATGGGTGGGGAATGCCAGTGTCACAGAAGTGGACTGAGACTGGAAAGCTCAGGGGACCAAAAAATGGTGTATGGAGCCGTTCCTCTACATGTCACAACTCCAAGTTCACCATGCATAGCGGTGATAGAGTTGGTGGCCTAAGTCCAGTTCCTAGCCAGCAGGTGCCCATATCACAAGCATCACCTTTAACAGAGATGCCAAGAATTTAATAGACATGCAAATTAAGGTGGCTAGCACCCAGAACTCCGGAGTTTGTGGGTGCTTGACATCTCTCAGGATCAAATGCTAACATGCTCTCCATCCTAAACATGAAGGGCAGACAAGGCAGTAAATGACCAAGATTTTTTGAAGCTGCTAATGGTTTGGAGTGTCCAACTGAAGTCCCCTTAAGAGAGGCCCAACTCTTCGAAAGTGCTGAGCAGCCACCCTCTGAAAAAGCAGGCCCCTTTCAGGTCTATCTGAACACCTCGCAATCTGCGTTTACCCTCCCAACCCCCGTGTGGTGTGAAGTTGGGAAGTGCTATTATCCCCACTTTATGGGTGGAGAACTGAAGCACAGAGAGTCTAGATGACTTGCCCAAGGTCACACAGGAAGTCTGTGGTGGAACAGGAATTGAATTGAGGTCTCATGTCCCAAGCTAGCATCTTCACCACTGGACCCTCCTTCCTCTACCTATCTATGGTATCCCAAATGGGCCTCGTTTTACAATGTTGGCCAATACCATCCGCATAAAAACATGCAGAATATTTTAGTGTTGGCAAGCTGTGTATGCACATGCAAAATAACCACATCATGAAGTATAATCTGATAAGCTACCTAAAAAGCTATATTTGATACACAGATATTCTTGTTAAGGTTATTTAAGGGAACACTGCATGGCTGGTTGATTGGCCAGCCCACAATCTGCTCAACTGGCAGGTAACAGGATATATGAGGGGGAAGGAGAAAGAAAATGTCTGAGGGGGAATGATAGTCTTGGAGTCGGAGCAATGTACTGGAGGACTGGATTCAATTCTCCTCTCTGCCACAGACTTCCTGTGTGACTGTGACCAACTCATTCTCTATGAGTCAGTAGGGATGTAAAATTTTAACGGGTTAACCAATAAGCACCAGTCTTACTGGTAATGTATTCAGTTAACGTTTAAATGCCTAATGTGTGTCCGGGGTCCCGGCCACTGGCATCGCGCCTGGGGTCCCGGCTGCCGGGCTCGGCCCCCTTACCTTTGTCCAGATCCCCCTGCTCCCCTAGTTCCCTATGTTGTGAACTCGTTAACAATTAAAGGTTTAACCGATACAATTTTAATAGTTTAAATGGTTACTTTTTTAAACACTATTTACATCCCTATAAGTCAGTATCTCAGGTCTATACCTGGGGAAGCAACAGTTTCCCCAACCTGAGAAATGTTGCAAAGTCAACTTCAGTAAAGTTTGTGAGGCTCTCTGATGTTATGGTGATGGGAGAAATACAAAAACAATCCCTCCATTAAATGATTCATTAATATCTTACCTCAAAAAGGATATCTGGAGCCTAACTCACCTTAGCAACTCTACAGATAGCCAGTGTGTACAAAACAGAGGGGGGGGGGGGCGAAATCCAGAGAAGGAGTGATTTCAAGCTCCACGGGGTTACTATAAACAGAAACCACACCATTTTTTCTCCCTTTAAAACTGATGAAATTACATTACTCAAAACTCTCAGCATATAAGACATTCATGCAACTCAGGACAACTGTCTAAACTTGCTTTATAGTCTACGTGCTTAACATACTTCTACTGCATCACATATCTCCTACTTATTTTAAGTTTCATGGCTGACTGAAGAACTAGGTAGTCCACAGATGCTACTGAGTGTTTTACTATCATATTTGTAATGTGTTCATCAAGACAACATCTGGGCATTTCTAAAGTGACACAGTATCATATCAGATGGAATTAGTACAGTATGCTCATACAAACAGCACTATGAAAACAGCCTGAATGCAAGAATGAAAAGATACACAATGAAGCAGTGTAAAAGACACTGCAGTAGAAGCAATTAGAGAGGTCAGTAAAACTGCTCTCTGCTAATCCCAACTCCTTTGTATGACCTGCAGGGATAACATGGACACAGAAGGTGGATTAATAAACCCTGACAGTTAAAAGGTTAAGAAACAGCAGCACTTCTGTGACCCTTGTTCAGGAATTCCACAGACTTTTTTCAAATAAAAGTCTGTTTGATTTAACTATAGAAACAAAATATACGTGCAGTGCCTCCTAAAAACCGCAGAATAAAAACATGATGCATTTCTATAGGATGACCCCCCTCAGAATAACTTCAAAGGTTCATATAAACACAAACATTAAAACAGATTGTGTTTTAGCTCCTGGATTACTTTCCTTGCAATAAAGTGGCGATATTAAGTGTGATCTGGTTGTACTACTGAAATTGAAATTAAGTATTTCACATCACAACATCCATGATTTTGATACAGAAGAAGTTTATTTTACAAACATATATTGACATTTTTCTAAAAAACACTCCTCCCACCTACACACAAATCCGTGGGTAAAAAGTTTAGAAAGCCACCTTCTGTTAATTTATCAATAAAATGGCTTTCAAGGCTCACATTTCCCTGTGCCACCCCTAATAGTTCCTCAGGATAGGAGGGATTTAACAATTGGTGGCAACAGCTCAAACTACTCCAGAGAACTTGGTACAGTAGTTACCGCAGCACAGACAAGAGCGGAGGGAAAAGTGGTTTCGGGCTTGGACACAATAAAGTATGTTTGCAATTAGCAAAAGCAGAAACAAAGGACAGAAAAGCGAGCGAGAGAGGAGAAGAAAACGAGCAGCCCAGACCAGGTCTGTCCGATCCAGCAGTGACCTGTTAGAGAGTGACCCTGGCTCTCAGCCCGTCACAAATCGCCCTGACGCAGCGCAGGACAGCTCGTGGAAGACACAAAGTTGTCAAGAGAACCGCCCTGGGGGGTTCAGGACTTGGGCAAGCGCCGGGGGGGGAGGGGGAGGGAGGGAGAGAGAGCTTCCATGTGCATTTTCAACAGAGCCCTTCAGGCCCCCTCCCCAGATACGGCAGGGACTGGGAGGGGGCAGGATAGCGGGACAATGAGGGGAGAGGGGAGCAGGACGCGGGGGGGGAGGAAGGGGCCTCTCTCCACCCGGGAGATGGGAAGCAGGAGCGGAACTGCATGAACGACCCCCCTCCCAGCAGCAGAATCGCAGCGCCGCGAGCGCAGGCGGGCGCCCCCGTACCCGGCCGGCGGGGGAAGGGGGCGGCTCGCCCCTGCAGTGCCACCGCCTCCCGCTACCCCTTCTTCGCAGGGACTCGGGGGGGCGCCGGCCCCCCAGCTTTGCAGCAAGAGGGCGACGGAGGAGGGGCTCCCCCAGCTCTGCAGCAAGAGGGGCACCCTCGGCCCCCCAACACTGCAGTGGTGGGAGAGCTCCCCCCCCCCTCAGACTCTCTGCCGGGACGCCCCCTCCCCGGCCCCCCGCAGACGCAGCCCCAGGCGGGGCCCCCGGCACTTCCCCCAACTCCCGCAAACTCGCTCGCGCACTCACCCCGCGGGCGGGGCTGCTTGGCCTCCTGCAGCGGCGGGGAGCGGGGGACAATGGCTGGCGGCACGGGGCGCTGGTGCAACAGGCGGCGGCACCCGAGCGCTCCCGGCGGCTCCCTCCCTCCGCTGGCCCGACGAGCAGCCCTGAGCCAGGACGCATGCGCCACCTAGGAGGGAGGGGGGGTGGAAGGGGAGGACCCCCCCTTTCTCCATCCCACTAGGTTCCTCCTCCTAGCGCGGGGGGGAAGCGGGAGGCCGCTCTGATTGCACGGCCTGGGGGCCCGTGAGCTCGCGGCTCCCACTGGGGGGCGTGGCCCCGGCGTGGGGAGGAGGGAGCTCGCCCGGGCGGCTGGAAATCACGCGTGGAGGATGGGGAGCGGGAGCATGGACGGGGCGCGGAGCTGGCTCCAGTTGGTGCATTTTGCAGGCGTGGAGAATTCAGCAGCTGAGCAGGGAGTTCATCAAAAGGCAGCTCCTGCCGCTTGCCTGCTGTCGGGGGATCCCAGAGCGCCTTACCGGCTTGCATAGATTAATCCTCGCAATGCTTCCTCCCCCTCGTGACATGCCTGTTACCCTCCTCGCTTTACAGAAGGGGAAACTGAGGCACGGGTCACTTAAGTGGCTTGCCCAAGATCTCCTGCCTCTCAGTCCTGAGATAAGCTTTAGCGGGTAGGTCATTCTTCCCCACAGGACAACACAGTTGCATCTCAGAGAATATATATATTGTAATTCTTGGAGAGATTGGGTAGAAAAATAGGTGGCCTGCAGATTTTAAAGTTACTATTTACCTACATAGAAGATTACTAAATTACCATCGGTTAGAGTTGGGGAACTGCTCTCCAGACTTTGGGATTTTGTAACATTTCAGAAGCTCTCCCCCATTTTATGTTTTAGATTTCCCAAGGCTTCAGTGAGTTTCATAAAACAGTCTCCTCCCCCTTAAACAAATAATTGAAATCCTCAAAGGACGGTGTAGTTTTAAAAGCAAATGTATTTCTACCGAAACGGAAGCCTGCTCTCTGTAAAAAAACATGCAGCAGCAGTTTGCTGTAAACCAGTGGAACCCAAATCTAAGAATTCTCTTCTAAATGTAGGTCCTCTTTGGATATGCAAGTGTACTACCAGTTTGCTGGCACACCTGAGAAGTGGGGGTGACACTGTCAGACCTTTCCATCATTCCAAATTGTGGGGAGCACGGACTAGAGCAGCTGCAGGGCTACTCCAGTTATGCTTTCTAAAACAATCCCATGTACTTCTGGGTCCAAACTCAACAAGAGCAAAGCGCATTCTGACTCACCCACGGTATGCCTCCTACTAGCTGGGCAGGCAGAGAATGATGTATAGCTGGCTATATTTATGTTATACCACTTGGGGATTTTCCCTGTGTCAGGGATTCCCCAGCAGCTTTAAGCCCTTTTGCACCACTGGAGCTACACAAAAGGCATCTGCATCAGGCAGATGACATATCTGATGTTTCACACACTCATATGGCACAAAAAATAAAATGTTTCTCAAAAGGTATATAGTGTCTGGTCAAAAGCAGGGGAAAGCAGAGGTTAGCTGCACACAGAAGACCATCCTACCCTTACAATGGGCTAAATCCTCAAGTTTTCACTTAGTTTTTACTCAGTTTCACTTCATTGAAGTCAATGGCATTTTTGCCCCAGGAAAAACCTGGGGGGCGGGAGGGAGGGAAATGAGCACAGAGCTCAGTATTTTGTCCCAATACATTTTTATCTCTAAACTGGACATTCTAATTTAGAGGTTCTCAGGCAGGGATTTGTGGTCCACGTGGGCTTTCAGGGGTGGGAGTAAACAGTACGGGAGACCTTCAAAGTGCCTGAAAAGTGAAATCCTGGTCAGAATCTTGAAATTGACTGCAGTGGGACCAGGATTCCACCTGTTTTCCTGTACAATTTATGCATTGAATAACAAATTGTGATTTGTTGTTTTTTGACGGAGAAATTACAGCTTTTTCCAGACTGGGAAGAGAGATTGCTGGTCTCCCAAGGCCTGAGAAGCCTTGTTTTGATTCCAGGAAGGTACTTCTAGTGAGTTTTATCACCTACATTTCACCTTGATGTTTCTCCCTCATGTGCGACCTTTTCCAGTTTATTCAGCTGCTCTCTGAATTCTAATTAATTATAATACTGTGCTGCTTTATTGAAGTTAAAGAAACGTGGTCAACTTTTTAAAGACCTGGATTTATTTTTATTTGAAGGAAATAACTTTCACCCACTAAACTTTAGCTTCAGTTGTGTGTTTCAGTTTGTGTTACATTTCTAACATTCCCTCCTCTGGCTATTATAAAGTATCTCCTTCTAGTGTTTCTGGCATCATACACTCTTTAACAGTGAAATGTGATCCTGTGCAAATAAATGTGGCGCACATGTACCCACCACCACAACATTCTGTTGCATGCACCGTATAAGTGATCCCTGCAGAGGGAAGGACTCATTTTGTCGTGTTTGAGCTGCTCACAGATTAGATGCACATATTGTATCATTTTTTCTGCAGTGATTCTCATACCTCTGTAACCCTCACAACAACCCTATGAGTTGAGTACATATGATTATCCCCTATCAGACACATTGGGAGACTATGGCACAGAGGGCCAAATGCAGCCCTGACTTACACTGCAAGGAAAATGTGGCTCAGAAAGGTTGTGACTTGTCAAACCCACAAGTTAGCAGCAAAGCCAAGGGTAGCAGCACCTATTTCCTGTCTTCTAGTCCCACTAACCACTAGAAATCATTACCTCACTAGAGCAGCTTTTGTCCGAAAGAACCTAGAGCACTGTGCTAAATATGGGCTGATCCTGTGCCCCTTTAAGTCAACGGCAAGAGTCATTTTAACTGACCTGGAAGACTGATCAGGCCCTGGCATAGTGCACAAGAATCATTTCACCACTGGAGTGACACAGTCACTTCTCGGTTTGGAACACTTCTGCCCTTTTAGCACACAAGATTACGTGACGGTGTAGAAGAACAAGATGAGAAGAATAACTTTCCCAACTGAAGCTGCAAGGGATGGGGGGGGGGGGGGAAGGGCGGATTGGTATGGCTGCTATACGGACCCAACTTTTAATTCGATGAAACCTAGGTTAATCCCTCTTCCCTTGTGAAAAGGTGCCATGAGTTCTTTAATGGGTATGACTAGTCAGACCCTTATTTTTATCTCTCACCTAACAGACAGGAAGTCCAGCAACACATTGTTGACTTATAGGAAAGAGTGCCACCTAGTGAACCCCCACTTCCTGCAGCACCTCTGTGTCCCATGGAAGCACTGACCCAACCCAGCCCATAAGGACAAACACAATAACAAGGTGGCATGGTAACAGCTGAATAAATCTTTCCATATAGCATATGGAAAAATATATTTTTCCCCACTTAGACTTCAATCAAGGGAATGTTTCTGCTTTAGCAGCTAGGTATACAGCAGACAACCCCATACATCACAAGTCTTTCTCTCTTTTTCTCTCTCACATACCCACTATGCATTTACACACACACACAACAGCTGTAAACGCTTTCAGGAAGTTTTTTGAATGAGAGAAGGCAAAGCTAAGCAGTCTCCTGAGAGATTGTACCCTAATTGCAACATTCTCTACAACGAAGTCCCCTGTAATGGAGAAGGTGTCAATTCACCTCCAGCAGCCTCAGCACTGCTGTCCTCTATCAAGTAGATATTGCCAATTGGATAAAACTGCAGTGATTTTGTGATGTAGGTGAAGTAGGGACCGGGTTATAGTACATTGGCTCTGAGGACCTCTGAGTGCTTTCTAAACAGGTTAACCTTCATTTCCTACCTGTGAGGTAAGTAAGTGTTCTGCCCATTTTACTGATGGACGGAGAGCTTAAGTGAGATGCCTAAGATCACAACAGAATGGGGAATCAAACTGAAAGGCCCAGTTCATTGTTGGACTCCAGCCCTTTTCATCAGGCAGGCTAGCTCAAAGCGGCTCTAGAGTAGACATAACCCAGCCCACCAGGAATACCACTGGCACATGAGGATCTTGATTTCAGGGGAAGAGTCAACTCCGTCAGCTCTATACCACCTGCACATTAGGTCTGGGCAATAGAGGTCCAGATGGGAAGGCAGGGGAAGTATCACACAGATGAGGTGTGGGCAGGTCTGAGGACGAGAGGGAGGGGTAAGTTAAGTGAAAGAGCATAGCCTGGGCACCCTTGAAATTCCATCCCTCTGCAAAGTCCCATAGGGCTCTTTTATTACTAATATTGCAGTGGCATATAGGAGCCTCAGACATGGAGCAGGCAGGAGCAGCACCAGGGTTTTTGGCGCCCTAGGCAGGGGTCCTTCCGCGTTCCCAGTCGTCGTTGGCAATTCTGCGGCAGGGGGGTCCTTCCGCGCTCCTGGTCTTCGGGGCGGGTCCCAGAGCGAGTGAAGGACCCGCCGCAGAATTGCCACCGAAGACCCGGAGCGCAGAAGGACCCCCCAGCGCCGAGTTGCTGCCTAGGGCAGCAAAATGCTGCCCCCCCCCAAATCCTGGTGCCCTAGGCAACCGCCTAGGTCGCCTAAATGGAAGCGCCGGCCCTGGGAGCAGGACCCCTTTGTGCTGGTTCTGTCCCAGAGAGCTTGCAATCTAAGTTGAATTCAGGGCTCAGTTTAGAGCAGACTTTAGGGCTACTATAACCTGCACTGGAAGGTCACAAGGCCCCTGCGGCCCCTGAATGGAGTAGATATAAACTCCCTGCCATCTGTTGCTGCACCAGTGCCTATCCCTGCAATTCCTGACTCCCAGCCTTCTGCTCCAATTACCAAATAATACTTTTTAATTGCAACCATCTTCAAGGTGCTTGGGATGAAAGACTTGTGCATTGAAATGGGTTTTTTAAATTATTTTTAAAGTGCAACCTATGCATCCAAGTTCCTCACCCCCAATAATTCTTGCATTGGGTGCATTAGGTGCACTGCTTAGTGACCACCCATAGCAGCAAATTAACAATGTATTGACAGAAGCACATACAGTAGTTTTCCTGAGTATGGGTTTGTGCCCACATCATTTTCTTTTTGACTCATCTTCAAAAATGTTTACATCACCAGATCCACGTTTGCATTTTTTAGAGCGAACAACAAGTAATGGAGAATCATGCTTTATTTGATCTCCGTTTTTCAGATTTTTTTTGTCCTGGAACCAGCTGCAGGGAGATTAGTCATTGCACATGTCACAGATTTATGTATGAGTTGCACCAGTGTGACAGTAGAATTTGGGCCTGTGCACAGAT